GTAAAGCATGACAGCTTAAAGACTGTTCTCATACTGTATGTAGAATTAAGTCACATGCATTGCTTGTGTGATTTTTGACTTCAGCAGTGTAAAATATTGATGGTTCTTTGGGTTTTGTCTATCCAAACTGATCCTTATCTTGTATTTTCAATTGGATTTGGGTCAGGTGATTGGCTGGGCCATTCTACAGCTTGATTTTCTTTCTCTGAAATCATTTGAGAGTTTTTTTGGCTGCGTTTTGGATCACTGTCTTGCTGAGATGTCCACTCTGGTTTCATCTTTTTCATCCTGGTAATGTAGATGTTGGACTGAAGCAGCTAATATTCATTTACAATGACGAAGGGCAGAGGGTTGCTGAATAACTTCTGAGAGGTTTTAGCTGCTGTCTGGGCTTTCACTGCCTTTCTACGCCTCTTCATGTGTTCAATTCTTTTTTCCCTGTGTCATTTCATTTTATTTCACATCACTCAGTTTGTAAACTAATTAGATCTGTTTCTTTTCATATTGTATTTATTTAGTTGTCGCCAACATCTGGTGAAAATTTCAAGTCAACAGCACCTTCAGAAATATGTTTTCTGAGAAAAATGGTAACGTGTTGAGTATATATATATATATATATATATATATATATATATATATATATATATATATAGGCGACGCAGTGGCGCAGTGGGTAGCACGTTCGCCTCACAGCAACAAGGTCGCTGGTTCAATCCTCGGCTCAGTTGGCGTTTCCTTGCGTGGGTTTCCTCCAGGTTCTCCGGTTTCCCCCACAGTCCAAAGACATGCGGTGCAGGTGAATTGGGTAGGCTAAATTGTCCACAGTGTGTGAATGTGTGTGAGAATGTTTCCCAGAGATGGGTTGCGGCTGGAAGGGCATCTGCTGTGTAAAAACTTTCTGGAAAAGTTGGCGGTTCATTCCGCTGTGGCGACCCCGGATTAATAAAGGGACTAAGCTGACAAGAAAATGAATGAATGAATGAATATATATATATATATATATATATATATATATATATATATATATATATATATATATATATATATATATATATATATATATATCCACAGCATAAATGAGTACGCACCTTTTGAAAATTTGTAGAAATTGTATCTGAATTGGTATTTTGAAATTTTGCTAATTGCCACTCCAAACCATTTTTTTTAATCAATCAGAAAAAAATTCTAATTTCAATGAAATAATTCTCTTAAAAATAAATTAAAACTGACAGTAAGTGGTGTAAGAGGTCAAATGTACGTATAACAAGTCGTTGATTCAACCGATTCATTCAAATGGCTGATTCATTCAAGAAAACTGCTTTATATGAGCTGTTAACTTCAATCCTTAAAGAATCATCTGTTTGATTCATTCCCCACATTTGCTCAAAATATGGATTCAGAAACTAATATATAAACGAATACATTTACTGTATTTAAAAACAGACAATACTGTGACTACAGCATAGCAGAATATTACTTATTTAATGTGAACTGTATACGGTTGGGCTATTTAAAACAAACAATTGAACTGTGAAATTGCTCAACTTATATTAGAACCCATATTATAAGGCCATTGAGAGATAGACAGATACTGTGGATAGAGACAGACAGACAGACAGACAGACAGACAGACAGACAGACAGACAGACAGACAGAGAGCAAATACTGTTGTCATAGTGGACAATTCTGACACACTTTTTGCTTCAAAATAAACAGCACTTTCCTGCTCCCATTGTTTGGGTGAGTCTGTTGGAAAGAGCGCTCAATAATGGTTCATCTGCTCTAGTTGTTTAGAAGCATGTTTATCTCCGAGGGGTGTATGCTAGTGTCAGTGTGTTTCAGGTGAGTGGAATAATGGGAACACAGGCGAGTTTAACATTGCGTACTGTGCGATGCTCAGGTGATGACCTGTTGGTTTAATAACCAGCCTTTTCTGTGATGAATATTTTGTCACTCCACTGAGCCAGAACAGATTAGACAATCCTATGAAAAACAACTACACCTAAGCTTACATTTGAATATTCTGGATATAGTTGTTGACTAATGGAAAGCGCCAATTTCATCAGTATTTGGTTCTCAGTATGCAGCAACTGTACATTATTAAGTTGTTTATCTAATACTTGCAAATGGTGGTAGACATCTGTTTGATTTCTAGGCCATCATTTTTGATAATAAAATTAACTATTAGCCATATTACTATGCATTAGTGTTGTATTTCAGCAGCACTGGTTCCGTTGTATTTAATTAAAGCATTATAAGTCATAAACCAAACCAACAAGCTATGGTTGTCAATCAAATAATGTTAGAAACTTTGATTTAAAGCATATGAAAATTAGACAAAAAGACAAAAGACTCTATATACAGACTTTATTGAGGGAAAGAACTACAATCCAATGAAGCATTGGGAACAATACAATCAAATAACAAATGTCTGATCTGATCTACAGAAATTATAGATTTTTTTATATTGCAAATTATGCAAATATATGTGCAAATAGTAATAATAATTACTTACATTTATATAGCACTTTTCTGGGCACTCAAAGCACTTCACACATTGAGGGGAATCTCCTCATCCACCACCAGTGAGCAACATCCACCTGGATGACACGACGGCAGCCATATTGTGCCAGACCCCACACCACACACCAGCTGATTGGTGGAGAGGAGACAGAATCAGGAAGGCAGTGATAATATGAGGATTGTTAGGAGGCCATGATTGACAGAGGCCAGTGGAAAAATTTGGTCAGGATTATTTGAAGATGTCGGAGCTTAAGATCTTTTTTGGTGAGTTTTGATGGCTGCATCTCTCTGATTGGCTACATTTTCTGTCCATCATCATGGGTAATGTAGTTTTCTTGCCCCCCATAAAATTATTATTTTAAAATGTATTTAATTATATAATATAATAATATACACAGTTAGGTTAATTTCCTTATTAAAACACTGATAGGGTTTATTCTGCAGAATCCTGTCTGACTATATACTACCTTTACATGTTTTTATAATTTTTTTACTTTGAACAGAGGCGGCGTGGTGGTGCAGTGGGTAGCATTGTCGCCTCACAGCAAGAAGTTCACTGGTTTAAGCCTCGGCTGGGTCAGTTGGCATTTCTGTGTGGAGTTTGCATGTTCTCCCCTTTTTTGTGTGGGTTTACTTCAGGTTCTCCCGTTTCCCCCACAAGTGCAAAGACATGTGCTATTCTCCTTATTCTTCGCATATGAGTGGGTGCAGTCATCTGAATGCTTTTGGCTCAAGACTTCCGGTCTTATTCACTTCTATTCCGTTTTATAATTCTGCTTTGTCTGTATAATCATGCAAACACTTGTTTGCAGAGCGTTTTCTTTTGTTTGTTTTTTTAGTAATTTCTCCCATTGGGAACTGAATCAAAAGTTCTAAAACAATCGCAAAAACAAGCTCACTTCTGCATTGAAGAATAAGGTCAATAGGTGAATTGGGTAGGCTAAAATTGTCCGTAGTGAATGTGTGTGTGTGGGTGTTTCCCAGTGATGGGTTGCAGCTGGAAGGGCATTTGCTGCATAAAACATACGCTGGATAAGTTGGCGGTTAATTTCGCTGAGGCGACTTTAAACAGAAGTTAAAATCAACAAGTAGATTTTAGAAATTTGTTTCATCGAGTCATCAATATAAAGGTTTGAAAAATTTTATTTTCTTTCTTTATTTGATTTTGATTTATTTATTTAGCATACAGGCACCAAATCAGGATTTTTAAAAACTACTAAAAATGTTGTATGCTAGGCCAGTATGTGGCCTGTCGCTTTGTTAAAAAAATTAATTAATTAATTAAGGGGCGAAGGTAGGTAGTGCTGTAGTTTCTTGTTGTTCACCACTGTTTTTTCGGTTGTCAAGTACTCCCACTTGCCCATAGACTGAACATGTCATATGCAGTTTTTGTACACAGAGTTTTCAAACAACAGTTAATGTGTAAGTGAGTCCCACTTTATATTAGGTGGCCTTGTACTTGCATTTAAAATAGATACAATGTACATACTGTGTTTATAATGTATTGCAGAACACTTTTGGTGCTCTTGAGGTGGGTTACAGGTAGGGTTAGTAGCAGTTTGGGGGTACTGGTAGGTTTGAGGGTGGGTAAGCTATAAGGCAGGGGTCACCAAACTTTTTCCTGGAGAGCCGGTGTCCTGCAGATTTTAGCTCCAACCCTAATCAAACACACCTGAACAAGCTAATCAAGGTCTTACTAGGTATATTTGAAACAATCAGGCAGGTGTGTTAGGGCAAGTTGGAGCTAAACCTTGCAGGGACCTCCAGGACCGAGATTGGTGACCCCTGCTATAAGGGATGGTTAACAGTGTAATTAAAGATGCAATCACATGAAGGTATTTAATCAATAAGTAGAATGTAAAGACATGTATTTAGACAATTCGTACATTGTGAAAAATAATTTAACTATTAGTAAAGGAAACCTAATATAAAGTGGGACCTGTAAAAGAATGGCCAAAGCAAATAAACCTTTCCATTTTATTTGAGATGCAACATGCCAACAGTTGCATTCGTATAAATAGAACATATCAGACTGCCGAATTCCAGTAACTGACCAATCAGAAACAGGCTTTGCACAAAGCAGTAATAATAATAATCAGCAATATATGATTAACTGCAGCATTCACAAGCAGGTGCATTGATTTTTCACCTTGTTATTTAGATGCCTGACTTGTTATTTAAATCCTGGAGGTTTGCACGGCCATGCGCATTCACCACAGTGTGGTTGGCAGACTGGAGGAGCTATTGTTTGTTTGTTTGCTCATTAGTTCTCATGCTGTCAGCTGACTGAGGAGCCAACACTTACTGGAATCACTGACAACAGCAGAAACCAGATCAGTCAGTCTCATTTCTTTATAAATACTCCTCATATTCAGCAGATTAGATCCAAATTTCTTTTCATGTTTGTCTTTGCTAGTCCATAATCTCATTTTTAAAAGATTTAGATGTTAAATAAGATGAAAAATGAAAGAAACAAATCCTCTGAATTCATTTATTCATTCATTTGTATAGAATGCTGAGACATGTGTACATTTTTTTTGCTTCATAAATTATTTATAAGCTCGAAAAATATATCCATACACCATGCACAATAAATTATACACTAAACAATTGAAAAGAATACAAAAACATGTAAATAAACAAATGACTCAAATCTTAAAAAACAAACACCAACATCGATTTTATCGAAGTGAGAGTGCTGTTGAACATACTCTGAAATTATACCTAACCGTTTAATTTTCAACAAAGGCATGATCACTTATTGCAATGAAAAGCGAGTTAATGCTGATGTGAGAAAACCCCTTCCCCAAAATAACATTCAGTCTGTCCTTTTATGATTATGTTTTATGCCTCTGTATCTACACATACCCTGTCAGTGCCGATGAACTATTCAAGATCAGACGATAACATCGTTCAGAGTAACAAATATTCATACTGTATATAAAAAAATACAAATATTGATTTCGGTAAAAACAAGCGTGCCTGGGTTTAAAAGAGTTGGAAACACCCGCAATGGCACAAAGAGAAAAGTTCATGCAAAGAGAACCATATACTGTATATTAATCTATACACAACGCCAAATTAACAGAAAAAAAAGTCATAGAAAAGACGCAATAAATCAAACAAGAAGTTATTCTCCTTCTCATTTTCCCATCATTGCAAGTCATTCTTCAGATCTTCCTTGCTGGCGTTGAGTTGGCTCTATTTTGGGTATATGATCAGTCAAGGATTGAAAATGGAATGGATGTGGAGGAAGTGAATAAAACCTGTAATCAATCTTGCCTCGATTACGTACATCATCCCATTTCCATGCGATATAGAAATATAGCTTATTTCTCTGGAAAGACAGTCAAGTTGTGCATCGGGTGCTGATCTGGACAGCTCCCTTGAACGAGCAGCTCAAACTGTGATAGGCGCCTATGAATCGGGGCGTCTGTATTGTTGATGGGATGAAATCTCACAGCCAAATCCACAGCTTCTACAAGACACGGGGCTAAATGAGTAGAAATCTTGGGCAGCTTTCTTCACAGCAGTGGTTCGGGATGGGTTTTGGTTGGAGAGTGGCCAGCAGCTTAGAATCTTGCTTTTTAACCCATCATCCAGAGCGGCTCTTTATCCTTCGTCCTGTACTCGTACACTGAATCATCATCTTCACCTCTCGTTCACATGCACAGGCGACAAGTGCTTCAAACCGGTGATTAAAAGAAAAGGTTGACGAGGTATAATGGTTCAAGTTTACACGCCGGGTGATGACTTGTCTGTCATCCCTTTAAGAACTTCATCTATTCGGTCATCCTCAATGACCACTGCAAAGAAAAGGGTGTACAGTTTTACATTAGTGCTTATTAAATTGTAAGCACAAAGAGAGGAAATGTTATTTATAATATTGAGAGCTTTTAAAAAATACATTTAATAGAGAATATATGAAACAAATACTGAAGGTGGAATTGAAAAGTATGCTGCAATATAACTATCACATTCAAGACAGTGCATGCGTGTTTACTTTAATCTAATATTAAACATAGTTTGTTAAATTTGTGTATTTATGGGACCAATCGTTAAATCCGAAATATTCTGGAGGTCTCTGGGTGTAAATTCAAAATTCATACAAAACATTCATCAATACATTCATATCTTGATATTCATATTATAGAGTAGCCTACATTTTGATAGTTGACGTCTGTTGTATTATTTAGCAGATATTTAGTATTATATGCTTAACGAATGTTATTGTTTGTGTATTCTGTCGATTGTTTGTATAGTCTGTCGTGTTTATTAGACAAGTAATTGCAGTTTTGATATGTAATTTGCATAAGTTATCATATATCTCGCTGCGAATGCTTACCGTGTTTTGCCCTGCCGATCTGCCCGAGTTTGGGTGGCCTTTTGGACTGTGATGTTCCGAAGAATGAGTTCGTGTCTTGCAGTCTACAGCTGAAGGAGATCTGACTGACTTCACTGTCCGCCCCGTAGCCGTTCATCTTCCCTTCGTTGTATGGCAGCACTTCGGACATGGCTATATACTCTAATTCCCAGCAATGTGGTGAAGAAAAAAACGAATATTATTATGAATAATTACTTTAAAGACTACTTTTCCCTCAGTGTCGTGCAATAAAGTCCAGCTAAGAGTCTGGAGAATAACCAACAGCAGGTCCAGTCGTGCTGTTCTTCTCCTTTGGCCAAGCCGTCGGTTGTACTGGAGAGACAGGAGTGGTGCGTCCGCTCCAGACAAGCTCTGGTGAGAAATGCTGGGAGATCCCGAAGCCATAAAGGAAACCCAGACGGAAAAGTGAAGTCATCCATCCGGGTTTGAAGGGGGAGGGAACGGGGGGAAATAAATAAATAAAAATGTGCAGGAGAAAAACAATGGCGATACAATTGTAACCATAATATGGCGTTTTGCCACGTTCTATAGGCACTTTCTATTTTATCACTAGAAACCCGACAAATATAGTCTAGTATTAGTTACAATTTCAATTTATTTCAATAGTGATTAAGCCTATCTGTTTTTTTTTTCTAGTCACGTTTATTGTTTTGCCAGTCACAGCCGTGTAAAGTAGGCCTACTAAATTTATTGTTTTGGTGTTAAACATTGTTTAACCATTATGTAGAAAACTAAACAAACAGAAATGTATTATATCAGATGAATACCACTCTTATAGCCACAGTTTTACCACCAAAACATGTAATAGGCAATTAAACCATTGCTGATTTTGGGTTAACTGTAATAATCAGTTTTTTGTCTCTACTTGTACCAAACTTCTGTCTGTTATAGACATATTCCAGATTTACAGCCATGGAAATAACTATACCTCGTTTTTTTATTTTCTGTTCTTTTCTTGTAAATTTTAACATTTGAAAATGTTTACCACCAATTTTACCACTGAAATATGAATAAACTGTTGTTAGTATAGCAATTAAACGATTGTTGATTTGCAGTAAACTGTAGGCTAATAATATTTTTTTTGCTCTATTTGTATAACTTTGGTTTGTCATAGACATATTCCAGATTTAAAAGTAACCAAGGAAATAACTCGTGTTTTTTTTTTCTTTTCTGTTCTTTTCTTGTTAATTTCAACATTTCAATACCACCAAATGTACCACCATATGTTAAAACTGTTGTTAATAGGCAATTAAACTATTGTTGTTTGTGGTTAATAATAATCATTTGTTTTTGACTCTATTTGTATTAAACTTTTGTTTGTTATATACATATTCCAGATTTACAAGTAGCTATTAAAATTACTATACCTCAGTTTTTTTATTTTTTATTTTCTGTTTTTTTTTTTTTTTTTTTTTGTCAGTTTTAACATTTCAATATAAATGTTTACCGCCGATTTTACCACCAAATATGTTTAAACTGTTGTTAGTATGGCAATTAAACCATTGTTGATTTGGGGTTAACTGCAATACTATTTTTTTTGGCTCCATTTTTACCAATTTTTTGTTTGTTATAGACATATTCCAGATTTTAAAATAACTATACCTCATGTTTTTTCTTTTCTGGTCCACGTTTTTTCAAATGTACCACCAAAATATGTTTAAACTGTTGTATAGTAATTAAACCATTGTCAATTTGGGGTTAACTACAAAAATCTTAAATTTTGCTTTATTTGTTAATTCCAACACTTCAATGAAAAATTGGCAAAATGTTCAAAAGCTACTCGCCATCCTTTATTGTCTGTTTGCTTGTTTAAAAACCTTGAGTTATCTTTTGTCTCCCTCTGCTGGCTTTTCAAAGACATCCTGGAACTTGCACAGGATTAATGCTTCATGACTATAAAAAACTGTGTTGAAACATAACAATCCAACTCTCTTCCACAGTCCAACTCTTGTCATTCAGTGCAGATGGCTTCCAACAGATCTCACTTTTGCCTGAAAGACATTTGGTCTTTGCAAACACATTTTGTTTCGGTGACAGGTGCCAGCTCTAAGATCAATTCTGGAATGTTGTTGATCCATTTTTAGACTCCTACATGTGAACAAAAGTAGAGAGCTGAGCGATTGGCATCTCACAGCTGATAAGGAGTGGTTTGGTTGACTTCTTGGTTTAGATAAGAATGAATGTTGGGAAGAAAATTTGTATGTTTCTTAATTAATTTGTTCACATATTCTGTTCTCCTCAGTTTTGTTGAGCACCCCCTACAGTCCCTGTGGTGCAGCCAGTGGATACTGGAGATTATGTATGTGTGGTTTTTTTCTTCTCTGGATTGATTCCACACCTGTCTATGTCAGTCAAGGGAAAGGCTGGACTGGCACAGCACTAACAGAGATAGGAAGTCATACAACAGCAGGCCATGATGAAAACTGTTCTATTGACGGCGTCCTTGCTTTGCTTCATTTTTCAAGGTAGGACAAGTTAAATTAATATTTCAAATGTTGGGTTTTCTGTCCTGCTGTTTGTCAGCTATTGTTCTGTCACGCTTTTATAGTATAACAGGTGTATAGTGAGTTATAGGACTTTTTCTATAAATCAATTTAAATTTAGTTTAAAATATAATTAAAATCTATTTAAAATTAGAGCTTTTTTACACTTTGGTTTACATGTGACTCATTTATATATTTGAAATGTGTTTGGAAGCAAATATTAATAAAATAAATCAGTTTTACATAATATGTTATGTAAAATACTCAATCTGAAGATTATCACTATAATTTTTTTATGATGTCTGTGAAATACAAATTAGTTTTCCAGGAGTATGACATTAAGGTATTTGTACTGTAGATCAGTGTTGGTCAACAATATCTAACTGTTAAAGACTTATTTGTGTGTCAAAATTAGAGCTATACCTATAGTAGATCTTGAAATAGGTCTGACTTGCAGTGTGTTTTGCAGAATGTTGTGGCCGAAATGAAGAGGAGCGCCTCATCAATTATCTTTTTAAGGAGCGTGGCTACAACAAAGAGCTTCGGCCGGTCCAAAATAAAGATGAAACTGTAGATATTTACCTGGCTCTGACACTTTCTAATCTCATTTCCTTGGTGAGTGCTTAATATTGCTAATGTAGTGAGATAAAGTGAGATATTAAAGGGATAATTCACCCCAAAGTTAAAACGTACTCACTATTTAATCAATCTCAAGTGGTTCCAAATCATTATGAGTTTGTTTCTTCTGTTGAATGCTAAAAATATTTTGAAGAAAGCTAAAAAAAAAACAAATGTTTTACTTTTATAGTAGGAAAAAACAAATACTATGGAAGTCAATGGTTACCGGTTTCCACCTTTTTACAAAATATCTTCTTTTGAGTTCAACAGAAGAAAGAAAGTCGGACAGTTTTTGGAACAAGTAAAGAGTGAGTAAATGATGACAGATTTTAAGTTTTAGGTGAACCACCCCTTTAAAAGCAAGACATATTAGTATTTACTATTTTAATACTGCAATATTGTGCAGATGCAGTTGTTACCATTCTAACAAAATAGTTTTTCCATGACAGAAAGAGGTTGATGAAACATTGCTTACAAATGTGTGGATGGAGCATGTAAGTAAACTATTTTATTTTCTACATATTATTTTAACCATAAAATGAATAACTGACACACCAAAGTGATTTCAGACACACAACATGATTTCTGTGTATATAAAATTGCCTTTGCAAATGTAATTGCATGCAAACACCAAAATGGAACATCCTATCTTTACTTATACATACATTTAATGCATATTTACTTCAATGTGTGTGTGTGTGTGTTTAAGGGCTGGAAAGATCATAGGCTTACCTGGAATGAATCAGAGTATGACATTCCTGTCCTGCGACTGCCACCAAGTATGGTGTGGTTACCAGAAATTGTTCTGGAAAACAAGTATGCTACCATTCTTTGATTAAATATACATTTATTTTTAATAAAATATGTTCAGTTACATTTATTTTTGACATATTTGTTTCTTTTAAACAGCAATGATGCCCAGTTTCAGGTGGCTTATTACTGTAACGTGCTGATTTATTCCAGTGGAGATATGTACTGGTTGCCTCCAGCTATATTTCGGAGCTCCTGCTCTATAAATGTCAACTACTTCCCCTTTGATTGGCAAAACTGCTCACTAAAGTTCAGGTACTTTTCCACATTAAAGGGGTAGTTCACCCAAAAACGAATATTAACTCATTATTTACTCACCCTCAAGGGTTTCCAAATTATTATGATTTTTAGTTTTATTCTGTTGAACACTAAAACCTGAAAACCTGTTGACTTACATTGTAGAAAAATCAAATACTATGAAAGTCAATGGTCACAGGTTTCCAACATTTTTCAAAATATCTTCTTTTGTGTTCAACAGAAGAAAGAAACTCATAAAAAGGTGTGAGTAGATGAAGATATTTTATAAATAATTGACTATTTACTTTACTATATCTTACTATTTATTTCAGTTTTGGGTGAACTAACCCTGTTGTATGAATTACATTGTGTATTTGTTGCCTTATTTGAGCCCCATAATGCTTAATCTTTTTTTTTCAGCTCGTTAACTTACAACGCTAAAGAGATTAGCTTAAATCTGAAAATGGAGCAGGAAAATACAACATACTACAAGGTGGAATGGATCATCATTGATCCTGAAGGATTCACAGGTGAGCTCTGACATGAGGGTTTTCTATTTCTTTCATATCATCCTACTATAAGATTTATTTATTTCTGCAGAAAATGGTGAGTGGGAAATTGTCCACAAGCCTGCCAGGAGGAACATTTATAAAAGCATCCCGAAAGAAAGCAACAAGCACCAGGATATCACCTTTTACCTGATCATTAAGCGTAAACCGCTGTTCTACATTGTCAACATAATCATTCCCTGTGTGCTCATCTCTTTCTTGGCCTCGCTCGTCTATTACCTGCCTGCTGACAGTAAGTGGTCCTCCATTTATTGCATTTGTAAGTCTTTAGATTACACAGAAACATCATTAAAGATAAAAGCAAAAGTAGCAGTACTTTTTGTGTTAAAATGAATGTGTCACAAAATGATGCTGTAACTTTTTTTGACCTGATTCAGGTGGAGAGAAGATGACGCTGTCAATCTCTGTGCTTCTGGCTCAGTCTGTGTTCCTGCTGCTGATTTCACAGCGTCTGCCTGAGACGTCTATGGCTGTTCCTTTAATTGTCAAGTATGCTGGAATATTAATTATTTAAATTGTTGCAAGTTCTTGAATCTGATTGGCTAACAGCCGTGCAACATTTGGTACGTTTTAGACCCTCTGTGGTTGATTTTATTTTTTATTTACACAATTATGCTGTCAAATTGTTGTAC